TTTAACTGAATCAGCTGTTAATATAGATGATGTTTGTTCAGAATTAGCTATAATTAAGAAAATAATTTGATTTAATATTAATCAATAAGTTATCTATTAATTTCTATGAGAGGTTAATTAAATGCATTGAAAAAATTGTTCGATTAGAAATTCATTTATATCCACTTAAAAGATTTGGATTTTCTCCTAATAACTTTTCTTATTCTTATTTCTTTTTTTTCTATTTTTTTTATGTCATATCATATTACAAAGATGATTTTCTCATTTTCTCTTGACTTCCTTTTTTCTTCTCCTATTTTTAATACATGCTTGACAATATGAGAAGCATCTCTCATTATTTCCTGTATGCTTTCAAATAGCTAATCATTATTGTATATGAGAAGTAGTAGTAACGATGACTTGTTTTGTTTCATTCTATGTCATCATACAAAAAAAAAAAGAAAAAAACACACACAGGCACATACACATGCACATCGATTACAAGCACATATGCATCACCTTCTCACCACTTCGATGAGGTTTGCGAGAAGCACACATGTGCACAACCTTTTTTTCTATTCTCATCAATATATGCATATGTGTATATGTACTAGTACATTCATGTCTGCAATGTTTTCGAATATGTAGTTGTCTATTGAATATAATAGGAAACAGTCTTAAGAACATACCGGGTTTTTTTGTAAATGATGTTTTCTTTTTCGAAAGATTTGGATGATCTGATGAAGAGTGCGCTGAGGTACAGCATTTGATTAAATTCATGATGATTGTTGTTGTAAACGGTGTTATTGATGAATATCACAAAAAAGAAATGATGGAGAAAAAGCTCGACAAGGTAAAAATGACGAATTGCGACATATGTCATGATCGACCGAACTCTTCGTCTTGAAGTGAAAGCAACAATAAAAACAAAAACATGCGGACTACGAACGACAATAAAAACCAAAATAAATATACGGGCAATAATAACGTACGAACGATTGAAACAACAACAATGATGATGATGATGGTGATGATGGCAGAAGAAGAAATAGAAGAACGAGCGTCTTTATTAGAAGGCGTAAGCAACTGGCAAAGAACTGTATGTAGACGATCGATAGTGCGGGTGAGGCGCGAGAACGGTTTGTTTCGCTTACAAACCAACACTACGAGAAAGAGATGGAGCAATAGTCGTTGGCGTACTCTCAAGCTCGCTAGCCCCAAGACGAGTAATCGAAGCGGAGAAAAAAAGGAAGAAGAAAAAAAAAAAGTAACACTACTACCATAACAATCTCTTGTTTCCGTTCTTCTCGTTCTCTTCTCCTTGACGCGACCCGTTAGTAAAAGAGAATGAGAAGAGAAACACGCATCATGCTGTTCCTACATACTATTGCTTAATGCACCAGAGCAGAAGAAGCTTTACAAATTATGATTGAGGATGAACGCAATAATTCTTCAATGATCTCAAAGATTTTGTTGAAAGAAAAACGATCTCAATTACCGACGTTTGGCAAAAAAAAGTAAATTTATTCTCTCTGTTCAGTCTATTTTATTTTAAACCGATTATGAACACTCGATAACAACAAGGTGTTATCCGTTCAACCGAATAGAATTATTTTTATCTCAATATACTCAAATACGCAAATGCAATTATGAAGAAACCATTCCAATAAAATAGAAAAGAACGACAAAAAACAACTTCAATTCTCGTAATAATATTTCATTATATGAAAGAATTTTTTTTAAACGATAATATGCAAAAATAACTTCATAATCAACAACTCGAGCATTTAATAATACTGAACGAGAAAAAAAAGACATAAGATCATTAATCAACTAATTCCATCAAAGGCGCAACAAATTCTACCTTGTTTTACTTTTATTTCTATAAATGGATATGACCTATGAACGATAAGATTCTTTGAATAATTAAATTAAATGAAAAGAAATCATGATGGAAGCAAGAAAAAAAGGAAAGTTCGTATAGAAATAATAAGTAATTGTCGATCGATAGAATCGGAAAATCAACCGACGAAAGTTCCCGTTCATAACAATCAAATTAACTGTTGAGTAGTATATGACAACAACAACAGTCATACAAAACATGAACAATTGATCTTTCGATCAATATCAATGTAAAAAACATAGGACGAACTAAATTTTAATCGAAGAACAAACTATAAAAATTAATAAATGCCTTTCAAGTGCTACTTGATGATGAATCAAACACAAATAGTCTTTTAACTGGATTCTTTCTCTCAAACATTTTAACATATCTACACCCATAAAAAAAAATACTGCATCCTACAATAAGCGATAAAAGGTTTCTTTCTTATCCTTCATCTAGTTTACACTTCACACATGAGTGCAATCGTTCATCTTTAAAAAAATCCAAATTTATTGTATATAAAGATCAAGATTTTTTTCACCATTAACGTAAATCATAGATGTCATTGAGTATTTCAATAGATTATTAAAAAAAAATAATAAGATGATAATGCCCTTTCTACTATAATTAAGATATAATTGAAAAAAAAAACATGTTTCTGTAACTTCATATTTATTTCATTATAATTAAAATTATTAATTAATATAGGTGAAGCTATGTGTATATGCTGACATATTCTATTTGAAAGTCTTCTTTCAAGCGAGCAAATGAATAAATAAAAAAAATGCAAAGAACAGAAGAAAAAGAAAAAACAAAAGAACAAACATCGAGGAAAAAATCAGTCATCCATAGACATGCACGCATGCATGCAATTTTCAAATCCGGATATAGAAATGTCAGTGAGGATGATGTAGCTAAGAAACACACGCTTATCCGTTTCTCTTTGATAAACAAGCAGTCTATCATCAATAAGATTTAGACAGAGGGAGCCACATCTCTACATCTATATCTGTCAAATCTTATGTCATTGATTGATTTAATCAATCTGTTGTCTTTTAATCTAAAAAAAACACTTACCTAATTTAATGCGTTTGGCCGGTGGTGAAGAGTTATGATTGTCATCATCTCGTTCATTCATATAATTTGAATCATCATCATCATCATCTCTATCAGCCATAAGCCACCAGGAAGATTCGAAATGATGGAGCACCGTCTTTTGTTTATGAAGTTATATTTCACTTTCTGTTTTTTTTTATCGTTACTTCTACGTTTCTTTTTCAATCAATTTGTTTGAATGAGGTAAATAATGATGTTGATCGGATTTAGTATGTGAGATGGTCGCCACGTCGATGTCGACAAGGAGAGTATTCGCCTACATAGAAAATGTATACAGCAGTGTGCGCGTTCTATTACTCTTCGCTCTCCTTCTCGTCAGCAACGTTGTCGTTCTCTTGTTTTTGTTGTAATTATTGCGGATGAATATAAAAAGAGAATGGAGAATCGGGTAAGCAAATTCAAGGAGAGAGAAGGAAAACAAACTGAATGGAAAGAACACATATCAGTCACACATCCAGAGCTGAATCAACAACTAATACTCCGTCTCGACTATGAGAAATAATAAGACTAATAAGGATAACAAATCAGAAATGTGATATAAATCTGTAAATATAAAATCTATTCAATAAAACAAGCAGAATTTCATAATAAAAATTTGGATTTATTTCACAAGATTTATATTATATGTTGAAATATTAATATAGCATGGTTGTTGTCACATTTTTGCATTTACCATTTTCATGATAGATAATGGTAAAGACAATGATCCCATTTTCTTCGCCCTCGACCTTTGTATTAGTGCCTATATCAAGTTTCATTTCGTTTATCTTTTTTTTTCTTTTTTTTTTGTTGCGTTTGTAACAACCATTAAAAGAATCCATTATAGACGATTCTACATTTGTGCTAAAAGAGAATATATATTTTTTCCTAATGTAATGTTTATGTCAAACAGAAGAGACGATATTATAACTATTGTAAGGGTTATCCTAATGTATATTTACAGAAAGATCAGGGTATATAGATTATATCAATGATAATATATTATTCATCTGGAAAAGGCACCTAAAACAATAGTAAATAAAATTTGATTAATTAAATGAAATTGCTATGTCATCTATAGACATTCGTATACGAGAACTAATTTATTTAGTTGTTTTTTTTTTTTAATATAAATCTATTTGAAAATTCTCTAAAGAGAATTTTTTTAAAATAATATTCATACTCAAGTCTTGAAACATTTACTCAACATTCATATATACTTTCTAGTTGTTATATTGCCATTTATATTTTATAAAAACTACTATTACTATTCTATTGTGTGTTGGAATTCCTAGTAGAATAGATACAAAAACACAATTAGTTAATGTATCCGTATCAGCATATAATGAAATTTTCGCTAAAAAAAAATATAATTTACCTAATGTTCTTTAAGTACTTTAAATCTAAGTTTCATGATCGATATCTATTGCGAGAATGTATGACGAAAACGATTATAAGATTGTTATGCTGTAGTTTTATACGTAGTTGTAACTAAATCTCATTGGAATACAATACGTTTCTTTTTGTTTAGCTTTATCAGAATTGTTTTTTATCTTTAACTCTAAATTCTTCAATTAAACTTATCAAAAAAAAAATCTTATTTAGCCATGCACCATGTCTATTATTTTTCAAATCGATATCGTTAATCTGTACCAAAAATTAAACACTATCACATGTTTTTTAACACCAGACAATGATCATTACACTTTTTTTGCATCGTATAAATTAAATAAAAAATAATTCATTCTCCCTATCGGATACGATATATCGTTCAAAGTTTCTTTTCAAACTACTTCATTGATATGATAACCTTGATTCAAAATTCAAAGTAAATAAAATAAAAAAAAAATCGATTATTCATTAGTAGTATATACAAGAGAGATTTGTTCTGTTCTTAACAAAATATTGTACTTTTTCAATGCATTTCTTTTTATTTTATATTATCGAATTACTAATGCAAAAAGGTTCTTTCAAGAGTAAAATAAATATATTTCATCTGTTTATTTTGATTTATTTTTAACGCTCTAAATCAAACATATGTTCATTCAATAATTCGATCATATGGTAAATTAGGAAGATATTGCTTGTCATATGCTTTTACTTCATATGCATTATCATTATCCATCATATCTTTTTCAACCAAATCATCATTCTTAATAGAAAAAAAAATAAAAAATAAAAAATAAAACAAGAACATTTCAAAAATAAATATTGACAAACTACCGCATAATTTGAATCAAAAAAGGGTAATACTTGTAAAAAATTACGTCGAAAACGCCATTCAGTTACAGCCCGTCCATTTCTATCTTCATGCAAATGGTGATCAATTTTATATGATGCCTATAAATAAAATAGAAAATTTTCTAAATAATTGTTTACTTTAACTTACTATTGCAACAAAACAATAGATAAATAATAAAAGATGAAATCCAAATCGAAATATTGCCATCGGTGAGGAAGTTATATGCAACATAATCTTGATGAATAACAATATAAAAGAAAATAGTTTTCTTTTTTTCTCGACGATGTAGAAATACTGCTAGGTGTGGGTGTCAATGTGAATGCTAAACGTTTCGATTAAAAATAAAAAAAAATGATGTACCATTCGATTGGATTTGACAAACAATAAAAAATTCATGAATAGAACAAAAAGAAAACAAATGAATGTTCGATTTCTCAATGGATTTCTCGATTATTTTCATGTTAGATTAACGGAAAAAATTAAAAATATCTAATTTATTTTTTCTTTCATAAAAGCAATCAATTATCACAAATAAAAGATGTTCAATCATTGAATCCATTGCGCTATTCCCTTACTCATCAATCTAAAAATAAAACAATACAAATTATATGCAATATTGTTTTTCAATTCGTTGGATTATTTGACAGACACACATAGAAAAGATATAATCATTATTGCATATAGAATCAGTCGTTTTAATCTTATTTGAATTGCAAGAGAAATATTTATTTCATCGAAAGAAGATATCAATTTGTCAACTGACTAAGCAATTTTCAAGTATGTAATATATCGTTCGAAATATGATATTAGATGATAAACATAAGATACAAAGAACTGTGTTAATATACAGTTTCGAATAACAACGAAAAGAGATCATAGTTTTCTAGATGGCAACGATAAAAATATTTCAGATAATCAATTTCAATCAAATTCCTATCATCCCATAGAAATTAATTTTTTTTTCAGTGCTGATGAATTTAGCAAAAAATAAAAATCGTACTATATTGTATTGAATAGATGATGTGCAATGTGTAATATAAATGAATTCAATCAAAACAACGAAGAAAAAACAGTTTTATTTTTACATAATTTTATTCGGACTAAAAAACACTAGAAATGATAATGAATGATCGAAAATAATTAGATATGACGTTTATTTATGTTTCAGCCTTTTTAAGGAGAATGTAGAACTATGAACACATTGGGTTAGTGTTTTTCTTGCAAATATGGGAGTTGGAAATGGTTGCATGACCCCTAAGTAAGGCACTGTGAATCAAGCCATTAGAAGTCCGGAAATTAAGTTTGGGCGAAGAGAATTGGTTTTTTTCATTGAATTAAAGGTAAAATTGTTTTCTAAAAATGGTGTAAGAATCAAGAGTTTTAAAACAATTATTCAGAAATGTCCAAGTTCATCTTGCAAGTGTATTGCGCATAGAAATCGAGAAACTTACCTAAATTAACACAATGTTCCGTACCGAAAAACTTACTATTAACAAATGAATTTTAACTAACTAATCATCAATATACAATTTTATTGAGAAATATGTGATCTTTCATTCTCTGTATTTGAAATAAGTTTTGCTTTTACTTTGGATGATTTCTAGTGCGATAAAGTTCGTCCTAACTTAATTTACGAGTCTCTAAATCGTTGGCTCATAACTTCTTAAAGCGATTAAAAAATGAATGAACATTTTGTCTAATTATTTTTTGATCTATCGTTATGATAGAAAGCTGGAGCAATTTTTGTGAAGTATCATTAATATACAAATCGAGTGCATGTCATTATTCATTTAGTTATCTATGCCTTGACAGATTTTTAAATAAACGGTTACAAATATCTAATTTTTATTTCAATGAGATCATCGTTTAATTGAAACTTCACAAGACTAAAAACATCAGATATATCACTAAAAATCACTATTTTTTCAAACTTTCTCTATTTTGTTTCAGATACTTTCTCTGAACCCTATAAAAGTATTCTATTCTAATTAAATATAAAAAAGAGAGTGAAAAATTATTATATGAATGAATTCACAATTAAGGAAGTTAAGAAAAGTTTATTGGGTAAAGTTAGTTCCTAGATGTATTTGAGCAAGTATTTAGAGGTACCTTTGTAAATCTTTCATGTATAGTGAATTCAAAAATTAGCCCAACTGTCGTATTTCATTAGAAACATTGGATATCGAGTTATAAAAGTATTTATTTCGTTTTCCTTTTTCGATTTTTGTTTTTTAGTTGAAACGATTGTATTTTTATCACGTTTGGTGTCAAGATTAGCGAAGAAAGACACGTTTGTATTCAGCTGTTCCAATTTTCATGACTCTATTGTAAATTAATAAGGTGTGATACTAGGAATCAGTGTCCAAATTTGGTTTAATTCACATACATTTTACAAGAAAGTATTTTTTATGAAAAATACACTTATCATTTCTGACAACTTCATTTTTCTAATGTTTTCTTCTCGCCTTCTAGAAGAACATGTTTTTTTTGAGAAAAAAAAATCTTGAAAATTTATATCATTCAATAGAGTTTTTCATGTTGACTCCGAATATCCAACCGATTTCGTTTCATCATTGAATCATAGTAATCGAAACTGTTGAATACAGGCGTATTTTTTTATCTCTTTTTGCTGAATTTTTTTCTCACAACAAATGAGAAAAATTTAGCTTTCTCAACCACAAAATTAAATCCAAGAAAAAAATGAAATAGATACGTTGACTACTTGACATCGAACTTTTCTAACGAAATAAGACTTTTAATCTCATCTCGGTTAGATACAAAACTAGAAAGATTTATAAATGGACCTCTGAATACATGTCCGAAGACATGTGAGAATTATCTATATTCAACACGCTTTTTTAAACTTTCTTAACTACGAATTCATTCAAATAATAGTTTCCTACTCTGTTTTTCGTATTTAATCATATTAGATTACTTTCAGACTTAAAAAAAAAGGTATCTGAGAGTAAATAGAGCAATTTTGGAAAAAAGAACGGCTTAGAATGCTCTATCGGACTTTTTTTGGTCGTCTAAAATTTAAAGTAAACGATGATCTCATTAAAATAAAAATTGAATATTTGCGACCATTTATTCAAAAGTTCATGAAATCATAGACAGGTTAATACAAAAATGAAATTTACTTGATTAATTCACTACCGATGGCTTACCATGTTTAGTTTATTTGTTTTTCATATGAAAAAAGCATGAATGTTTTTGATTAAACAGACCATATTCACTGAAACAAAAGTCTCTCAGACATGTTTTTCGTATTAGTATATGAAAATCTTGAAAATACTAGATCAATAGTGTTTTATTCGTTACCCATCATAGGTCATTACTACTTTGTATAGGTTTTATTTAGATTTAAAAAAAAATTATATTTGTTGATTTGAGCTTGTGTTTCTTCATGTCTATCAAATTCATCTGATCAAATAATGAAAGTTTTTTAAATTCATAAATCTCTTCGATGAATGAGAAACAGAATTTCTAATTCTTTTCGAAAATTGATGTGTTCTGTGTTACTTGCAATCAATAGTTAGTTCGTCTAACTTCTGTGATGTATTATGTTTCATTATAATGACATAAGATAAAAGTAATGAAAGTTGTTTGACATCAATTTCAAGGAACAGAGAGTAACGTAGAAGTTATCTATGATGTCAACGCTTTCAAAAACATAATCAACCAAAAAAATAGCGTTAAGAAAAAGCATAGCGTTGAAATTTCCAAGGATAAGATTGGTTTAGTCTTAAATCCAAGTTTACTAGTAATAATTACTCAAAGTTTTATATCAGAACTGTTTATTTCTGAAATGTTCTTGCCAACTATAACATTATTAAATTCTAGAATTATGTTTTTTCTTCATATTACAGATGGCTTGACGTTCATATTCTTTGTTATATGATTTTCTTAACCAATAGCAATTATTAGAATTCATTGTAAGTATATCATGTGTCTAGTCTATATCAACAATTATTTCATTCAAATATTTTAATTAAGAAAAGACGTGTGAATAAATAAAAAGTATTCTCATAAAGACAACAACACTTATAATTTAATTAGAGAACGAGAAAAGTTATTGATTTCTTCTCCCATGAGCATTCATGAAATACGGAGTGAATGAACTTGGCATGTTAGATGTAGAAATTTATACATATCTTTTTTTTTCTTTCTTCTTTTTTCTGATGTTCTCACATCGTTGATTACAGATAGAGAACGATAGAAAAAAAAGCCTGAGATAAAACCTTGGCATGAGCGAACATTGATTTTTTCCCCTTGTTTGATCGCGTAGGAGAAGAAAAAAACGACTATTCCGATTCTATAAAGAGCAACGACAGCGCGTGACTTAGTCTATTTACTCCCTTGACGGCATCGATATATATATATTTCAAAATGTCTGAAAAAGCTCCGATATCGTTAGGTTTACAAAAAGCTTTTGATAAATATTCTAAATTTGGCAAAACTCAAGCACAATTAACTGATCATCATGGACTTCGAATTGGTTCAGCTGGTATTCAAAAAATGATGAAAGATTGTTCATTAATTGATACGAAATACACATCACAATTATTAGATAATGATATTGCTCGTGTTCTTGGAAAATTGACAATAGGTTCCAATGAAACTAAGTCAATTCATTATCCAAAAGGAACGTAAGTAAAATCAATAATATATTCTCGTCTTTTTTGTTTTTTTGTTTTAATTCTATTCTTCTTAGAAAAACATTTGAAATTAAAGGTTTTAAAGCATTAATTGATCGTATTGCTGAATCAAAAGGTGTTACTCATGATGAAATTTTAGCAAAAATTAATGCAAATGAAGGTCCTAGTCTTAATCATGTTACTGAAACAACAAATAAAGAAATAACTGATCGAATGACGGATACAACACATTACACGTAAATATATTTAAAAAAAGAACTTTTTTTCTGTTAATACAATAAAAACAAAATGATCATTTTTTATTTGTAGAGGCACACACAAAGAACGTTTTGATGAAGAAGGCTATGGGAAAGGCAAAGAAGGTCGTTCTGATGACATTGAAGCTACAGGTTATGTACAAGGTTTCAAAGGTACTAATCAATCATCATCATTAACAAAAAAGTGAACGAATAGGGAAAAAAAAGGCGTTTTCTTTTTTGTACATTTGTATATTTAATAAAACTTGTACTTGTAACCTAGCAAAGTGTTGTTTCACTTATTTTTGATTTAATACTTGTATTGGATGTACCACGAGATATAAATTGATTTGATTGTTTTCGTTTATTATCAAAATCTAAAAGTAAATCTTTATAACCATCAGCATCAACAGGCATCATAGAAACTCTTCGTATTGGTTGTTGTGCTCGTGTTAATGGTCGTTTATGATGAAATATTTCTAAATCTTCATAATCAACAAATGATGGTCGAGAACGAAGTTCAGATAATTCAGAACGACGAATTGGTTTACAATTACCAGTTAATCGTTGTGGAATTGATGATGGTGCTGGATATTCATTAGTTACAAATTGTGGTGGTGGTGGTGACGACGGACGAGAATCTATTGAATTTAACTCAGCTGTATTTTGTGTTGAAGCTAAATTAAGATTTTGATTGGATGCTGATAAAGCTTTCGGTCCTGATAAATCAATATCACGTTCCCAAGCAAGTGTTTCAAGCATATGATCAAATTGTGCTTTAGGTTTAAGAACAACCGATTGATGAGATACACGACGAAGACGAACATATTCAGCTGTTGTTTGTTGTTCTTTTAATAAATATAGAACAAGTTTTCCTACTCGCTATTTACAAAATATGTTTTATAAATAAAATGAAAAAAAAAAAAATAAAGGAAAATTTTCATTTTACCTTCCAATTACTAATAGCTCCTTTTCGTTGAGCTGCTTTACTTTTTGTAACACGTTTAATAACCATTATATCTCGTTTATCATCAGCACCTATAGCATATACACCTTGATAATCAAATCGTTGTTTTGCTGAACAAGATCTTTCAATAGTTAAGACAAGTTGAGCCCACTATAATAGAACAAAAACAAAAAAACCAAGAAATATAAGTTAATAAAAAATAATATTTTAAACCTGTCGAATACGTTCTTTTTCACTAATTGTTATAATACGTTGATATGTATTACCCATTGAAGCAATTAACATATTTAATAAAAGTATAGGTGTTAAAATCATAAAAACAATAAATAAACTTTTAACTAAATATGAATAATGTGTTAAATCAAAACGAGAAAACTAAAAATGAAATAAAAAAAAACAAATTGAAATTATCTCATGAGAAATTCATCCATACGTCAAATTCTCCCATTGTAAAATGAACCATTGTCATCCAAGCTTCAAAACTTTTAAATGAACACATATTATCAACTCCACATGTATCATTAGGTGCTAGTCGTTCACAATAACCACCTTCAGTTGTATCTCGAAAGAGGAGATAAAAAACTAAAAAGAAATGAAATTATTGTTCTTTCTGTTTTTCCTAAAAGTATTGACGATTCAATCAGATAATCAGTCTCAAATCGTATAAATTATATCATAATGTATTATTTAATGGTACTTGATCTTCAATTTTAATGTGTAACATGTGGTAGAGGAAGGTTATTTTTTTTCTTCATCTTCTATAAGTATTTTATAACATCGAATGATACTTGGAGATAATTAATGAAATTTCTGTTGCCATAATCAAAGAAATATATCTTTGATGGAAGCTGAATAAAAGTAAGATTGTTTCAATAATCATTTTCGGGCTAAAATAATGTTCGTTTGCTACTTAGAATTGTTACATACTTAGCTGAGAGCGACTTAAAGAATACATCTCTACGTCGAATAGCCATGTGTATAGATTAGACCAAGATTCAGATATTATTCAAAAAAAAAAAACACAAAGTTCATCTTATGAACTCGATCAAATTAAGAGTTATAGAATATCAAACCAAATCTTATATTATGTGTTTCCTAGAACCTACATGTTCGTATACCAAAATGATTCATTCATGATCGATACTAGACAAAGCTAAATCATTTTTTAATGTCTATACCTTGGCCAAAAGCTGTTATTACAATAACATAAATAACACCAAATGTTGCAATATCTCCTGTAATCATTTCAAATATCATAACAATAAATGCACCAGTTAAGGCATAAATTCGTCCGAAAAAAAGAAAATATAAAAATGTTCCAGGCACAGCAAGTGATACAAGGCCATCTTCAACATAACCAAATGTAATATTTTTTGTTATTAAATAAAGTATACGAAATGGTATAGCTAGAACAATAAGAATACATGAACATTGATAAAGTAATTTTTCTGGATAACTTTTCTAAAAAAACAACAAACAAATCAAAATATTAAACAAAAATGAAAAAGAATTATTTTAATTTTATTTACTAAATTTTGTATATAAGAATTAAAACCTTGTAAATAAATTTCTTTTGCTAATAATGCAAATATACTGATAATACAACCACCTAATACACATACTTCAGCAATATGACAAAAAATTCTGTTAACTAACGATTGATCATCTTTTGGATTACGTAAAAATATTGCTGTACTTAAAAAAAATAAATGAGTACAAAGTAATACTAATTGTCGAACAAAATGAACCTTGAATAAAAAAAATAGAAAAAAAAAAGAACAAAAATTAAGTTTTTTATCAAAATGAATTCTTTTTTATTCTTCTATTTTATTTACTCGAGCAAATGTTGACCATTTATCATTTAATAAACGTTCAATAAGCATATTATCAAGCATATCTAAATGATTTTCCGTTTTACCACTAACAATTGACATTAATGAAGAATTCCAATCTTGAATATAAATGACAAATAAAAAAAAAAAAATATTCAAAGCAAAAGAAAAATAAATCAACAAACCGATATGGCCACCATCTGTGATTGTATCAATACCACGTAGTGGATATGTACAACATTTTATATTTGAATAACGCCAAATTTCCTTTTATAAAATGAAATCTTTATCATAAATTTGATTAATTATCTCTAACTCATGAATAATTATATTAGGAAAACTTCAGGGCAAAACTAAATGGAATAAAGAGTATATAGCAATTTTTAAATCGTACGAAGAAAGAAAAAAGCATTTTCTTTCTAATAGAATGTAACGTAAATGTTCGACATCGCTGGAGGAAATCAAATATTTTTTACTGATGGAGTGAGGTGTAGTATATCTTTTTCATGTTCTCTGATCCGGTTAACTTTGTTTGCAATTTCTATTGCACACCCAAAATGACTTTTATTTAGACTGATAAATTTTGTAATGAAATTGTACATGACGTCTTTGGCGGTGACTCTTGTAAAATTAAAATTAGAAACATGACGTTGATTGCTTATAGTTTATCAAAGAGAATTTTAACAATCTGTCAAATAAATGAATAATAACTAATCTCATCTTACAAAGGATTACAGGAATTTTGACACGGAGAATATTCGGCTCGGCTTAAATTAAACTGAGTCATTCCTATAGAAAGCCGTATTTCTTTTAATTAATTATTACATCCAGCAGTACTGAGGATGTGAATGTTGATGTGTATGTGATTTCTCTGTCCATCGCTAGTCGCAATCACGCATCGTGCGCCCACATGAGAAACATTCTCATCTACGCCTACGCACTCACATTTCAGTATTACGATATCTTGCTGAGTAGTACATCCTAATGAAAATTGCATACTACTCAGCACTACGAAATATAGTAACTAATGAAGAAAATAATGGTTGTTTTTTTATAGGAGTTAATGAGATCATTTAAAGTCGAGGCTTTAAATTTCCTAGGTCTAAAATCCTGACTCCCATTACAACCTGTCACAATCGAATCTTCTCTAGAATTCAATTATGTTTCACAATGTTTTCAAGATAAAACTTAAGTTTTATGACTATCTGTCACGATCTGTAAGGATAATAAATTTCTCCACTATGCGTTAATAAATCGTTTAATTTCTAAACATTAAACGAATGATGTAACATAATTCAAAAGAAAAAAAAAACATCAAATATTTTTATATTTTACCACATGAGATAATTCTAAGCATTGAAGAAAAAGTTCTTTTCGACCAAGTTTAGCAGCTAATGTTGATGGAGTTAGCCCTTCATTATTACGAATATCTGTAAGTGCTTTTTTTACTGGATGTCGAATAGCATGATTAAACATTTCCTTCAAAAAAAAAAAAATTAATTTTATTGTAAAATTTAATTCATTATTTCATATATTTATAGTTTTACCGATCGATCTCGAATGACAAGCATATGTAAAACAGTATTTCCATACGTATCTTGCATATTTGGATCAGCACCATTATCAATTAAATAATCATAAATTTCTTTATAACTGAATGCAGCAGCAAATGCTAATGGATATTCACCATAATAAGCATTAGCTTAAATATGATATTCAACAAAAAAATGAAAGTTTTTTTTTTTTGTTTTAAACAAAAGAATTTTAATATACTTTCAGGATTCGCATTTTTTAGACTGATTTGTTTTTGTGATGTTTCATTCCGATAAAAAAATCGTCTAGTTGCATTTTGTCGACCTGTTTTTGTTTCCTGTTTATTTCGACTTTGTCCAGGAGGATAAAAATCTCCAATAACACGTTGATTGACATCAAAACCATGTTTTATTAAAAGTTTAACTGAATTAATATCATTATAAAAAATAGCAATATGAAGAGGAGTTTCTCCTAAAATAAATTCAATATAAAAATTAATTTTATTCTAATTTTGATGTTAACCAACCGATGACAGTTAATCGATGAGCATCATTTGGTTTGATATTAGGACCAGTTGGATTCAAACCTTTGCTGTTCGGTTCATTATGATTACTGATGGAATTTTTATCAAAATGACCTGAATGAGATAATCGATGAAAATCTTTACTATTTATTGAAATTGGTCGTCCAAAAACATCAAGAAGAGCAGTATTTGGAATTTTTATGGCCTTCATATTTATATAAAAACAAAAGGAAGTTGTGATCAACAATGACAAAAGATGATTACCATGTGTTATTCTCCGAAGTATTTTCTCGTTTAACTACCATCAGTAACTAGTCATGAACAATATATAAAAAATTTGACGAGTGAAGAAAGCTTTTTCTTTTTTTTTTTTTTTTGCTCTTATTCAATTATAAAGAGTTTCCTTGCATTTATATTACCGTTTTCTCTATTCTCGATGATACGTGAAAACTTCATCAAGGAAAAAGAAAGACAAAACACATACAGACTATTTTTTTTCTATCGTTTACTTAAAGTGCACCGATAAAGATGTAAAATAAATCAAATCAGTGCATGTTTTTTTCTCTTTCTCTCTTTTTTTTTGCCAGTTTTACGTTTAGTGCTTTCTTATTCTTGACGTCTTGTATGCGTAAATTAACTTTAATCGTAACAACTGAGATTGCTATTGCTCTTGTTACTAGAAAATAAAAAGAAGAAAAAGTTATTTCTTTGTTTCTATTTTTCAGGTTCAATCATAAAATTGTTGCCAAGAGATGAAAAAGAAAATATAAGCCTACAATAGATGTATTTGTTGATATGAAGAAACACAATAATGCACAAAAAGAAATATTCATCTTAAGAATATTTCATCTCAACAAAAGTACCTTTAATAATGAATGGAATTGCAAATGTTTAATGTGAATGATTATAGACATTAATAGTAAATGGTCATAGAAATCATTTACTTAAATAAATGAAAAATTTTATAGCGTTTATACGTATTCAACACCAATGAGTAACTTGAATAATAAAAAGTTCTTATTGTCTCAAATAGTGTTTGATAAATATTCTTCATTTAATATTATGCATACTTCTATTGCATATAGAAAAATATCTTGTTCTATATTATCGACCAACTATAAATCTAATGAATTCGATGTTTTAGCTTCTCTCCCTCCCAATCAAAATTGACTGTAGAGTAGAAAAATTCCAATGACATGAAATTTTCAGTTCGATATCATCATGTATTTATGATATATTGATTAAACAAAAGCAAGAAAAACTTTCATACAATATGATTGTTACTGGCCAAGGATTGATTTTGAAGTAAATTTTCATGATTTAAAAATTCTTTTTATATTATTGAAGACACGTTTCTGCTCACTGATCACTTATGATTTTGAATTCAAAAGCAAGATCATAACAGTATCACAATGGTGATTATTCCTATGAATATTTTTTTTATCGTGATAATAATCTTTCGTAATAAGATGACAACTTTCATTTATCATGTGTTTAGTTATTTCTTCAAAAAATTTGTTATAATCATAAAAATTCAAAAACAAACATGTTTTCATTTATGTAATATCAATACAACAGATTTAAGACGATCAAAAACTCTTTACACTTGAATATTAAGAGTCGAGAGGAATGTGGAAAAGTGCTTCAGCAGATGTTAGCGAGCAACTTGATCAAGTTTCTATTCATATAAGACCTAAAATTAAGGATTTACTAAGCTTACTCGAAGCCATTATGAGAACTTCACATGATTAGTTTCTTCTTTTTAACTATGTGAATTTCTCTAAAATATATTCAATTATTAAACCATAACCAATCACATTTTCACTTCTATAATTCTATACAAATATTAGTTTAAATAATGAACAGTATTATGTATCAGTAAGATATTTCTAATTGACGATATATCAAGTATATCTTTATGTTATCCAATCCGATGGTTATATGGCTACAGGCTTCATAGCAATAATAATACAATGTCAATCTAACGTTCTTCTTTTCAGAATATTTATGATACATTTGATAATATACAGAGTGATCCAAAAGTCAGCGGGCAGTCAGTCCGTCTTTAATTTTGCATAACTTTTGATAGACGCAAGATAGAGAGTTGCGCTTTTCACCGTTCGAAAGAGAAAAATGTTACTGCATAGTTCCATGTATTAATCAACAATCTTATCTGTTGATCAATTAGTGATTCTTCGAAAAAACGGTGACAGCTCTATGAAGATAGTACGAAAGTTCAATTCTAAGAAGTGCACTAGGCTCGCGTCCTTAAGATCCATTTTCATGCCTATACCCAAAAATTTTATCTTGTTTTATTCAAAAGTTATAAATGCGACACTAGGCGATGAGGCTGTGAACATGGATTATAAGTACGTGGGTCTAGTGCCCTTCTTAGATTTGAACTTTCATGCAATCTTCATAGAGCTGTCACTATTATTTCGAAGACTCACCAATTGATCATCAGACAAGATCGTTGAGTAATGCATGAAACTATGTAATAACACTCTCTCTTTCTAACGGTGAAAGCCGCAACTCGCTATCTTGCTTCTATCAAAAGTTATTCAAAATTAAAGACTGACGGTCCGGTGACTTTTGGACCATCCTGCATTTTTTGAATTCAATAAAATAGTCAATCGTTCATGAAGTTTTTTATTCCAATTAATTTTTCGTGCTTTCTTTTTTCATTTATTCAAAAAACGACGTCTAACTCTATCGAAATTCACTCGTCTATGTATTAACATAGTTAAAACGTAAACAAATCCAGCCAAAAACAATCCAATAAACCAAGCATAAATATAAATATGATCAAAAAATACTGTTTCTCGATTTTGATTAAGTTGTAAACTTCGTATAAATCCTGGCATATTTGGTGCAATTCCAATCACAAGGGCTAACATAGAAAACCAGTTCACAGCTCGATTAGTATATAGTGGATAAGAATCACAATATAATTGAAAAATTTCTAATTTTTGTCTTCTCAATATATAATAATCTCCAAGAATGATACCAACAATAGGACCTAATAATGCTGAATAACCAATTAACCATGTAAATACATATTCTTCTGAACTTGATAATAATTTCCAAGGCATAATAACAACAGATAAAATACAAGTTATTAAACCACCAGTTTTAAATGAAATATATCGTGGTGATAAATTAGCAAAATCATTTGCCGGTGAAACAACATTTGCTGCTATATTTACTGAAACAGTTGCTATTAATATACCTAATAATGAAATAATAGCTATGATGATACGTATTGATGTTGAAAAATAAGCATGAGAAGGAGAAGTTATAACTGAAAGTAAATAAATAGGATCCCATAAATTTCCTGGCACATTAACAAGGACATCTTGTGCTGTACTTGTTATTATAACAGCCATAGCACTAAATATGAGCATAGTCAAAGGTAATCCAAGTGATTGACCGAGCATTTGATCACATTGACTTCGACTAAATCGTGTAAAATCAGGAATATTTAATGCAAGAGTTGACCAAAAGCCAATTGTACCTTCAACGAAGAAACAATATTATCCGTTTTGGAAAATATAATGTAAAAAATGTGACGTTCTTGCTCACAAACGGTTGTATTTGACTCAGAAAAGCATTTTTATAAAGAAAAACGTTTTTTTCAAAAAAAAAAAAGTTTTTCGACTAAAAATGTCTGAGAGGCACTGTTGTCTTCATTTTTTTGAGAAAATATTTTTCTTCCAGATTGTTTCGTCTTAGATATCATTCGATGCAGTTTAATGTGTTGATCTCCAGTATATTTTTTTTGTCGACTGAGAACAGTTTTCCATATCGGGAAAAATTGGTAAATACTTGGAGAGTCTAGGTTTTTGGAAGTCCAGTGAGCAATCCAGCGATGTTTGTGCTAACAGGAATTAGTAATAGGAAATAGAAGATCATTCTAGCAAAATTTGGAAAAGTTTGAAGGTTGGACGCCAGTAGAGTACTCGTTTTACAGGAGTAGTCCTTTGTACGACGTTAGAAAAAAAAATTTTTTTTTTTCAGAAGTTGAAACATGCAAATAAACACAAACTTTTATCGTTGTATAGAGCTCGGCTTGGCCATATAGAAAACGTACTTAATTAGTCTGTCGAACAGTTGAATTTTGTCAGACATCTATTTTTCCGACGATATTACGATTTCCAAGCTAACTTTTAGGGAATTAATTTTTCAGTTGCTTTGAAGATTATAACAAAGTTATTTATATTACTAGATAGACTATATTTCGAAGTTCATCTTCCTATATTCAAACATTAGAAAAATGCAACTTTTGTTTTTTAGCTATCTGTTAATCTAACGGCACATTGTGTCCCTCGCAGACTTTGACAGATGCTGTTAATATACGATCAAAAACTATATATCAATGATGGTTCATTCTAATACATGAAATATTTCCTTTTACATTTCTAGAGAAGGATAGTACAAAAATGTGTCTCAAAATACACAGAATAAAATAATCTTCCTTTCAATAGAAATAACAGCTACATTGTGTTTCAAATTTTAATTCTACATAGATTAGACTAATAGGTTTTCATTAAAAAGAAAATCTTACTTGTCAATGAAGGTATAAATATACCCCAAAATTCACGAAAGGTTTCAAATTTTGATGGCTTATATAACATAGAACCTAAACCCTTAGCTTTCACAACCAACCACACAAGAAGAATAGCAGCCATAATAAGAACAATTGGTGCTGCCCAATTTTCAAATTTCTTAACTGCTTCCATGCCATAATAAATAATTATAATATGTATTGATAAACATAAACCAAATGTTAACCAACTTGGAATAGATAAACCAAGAAATGTCCAATTATTTCCAAGATATTCATAACCAGGCCAAACAGCTATAACAAATGTTTTCAAAGCTTCACCACCTAAAAATACATTGATACCAAGCCACTATAATATTGAAAAATTTTTTCATTGCTTTTGGTTTTTAATAATATCCGTCTTTCAAAACTTACTCCACATGCAACAAGTCCTCGAAGCATAGCTGGTATATTAGCACCCCATGTGCCAAATGCTGATCGAGCTAAAACAGGAAATGGAATTCCATATTTTGTTCCTGGTTGAGCCATAAGTAATATTGGAATAAGTACAATTAAATTTCCAATTCCAATTGTAATCAATGCTTGAAACCAATTCATACCAGACGTAATTAAACTTCCACATAAAGCGTAAGTTGGTAAACAATGAC